GACACGTGGCACAATCCTATTGGCTCTTCCGTTTGACTTGGTGCGTCACGTCATTTGACACGTGATACTGGGCCTCTAGGAAGATGCCATCTTGGGCCTAATGAAGTGGTCTCATCACTTTAGCCCAATTAAATGGGCTAGCCCAATGGATTTAGACTTATTTATTTAATCCATATATATTGGATTTATATAAGGAATTTTTTCATTCTTATACACTATTTAAAACTTTATTACCCTTAATGTCCATGTTTAGCTAATTACTTGGCATAAACAAGTTTTGTTTACAAAATATATACAATCCACCTTAAAAGGCTCCCAAATACATTATTTGTGCCTTTAGTCAAGAGATTTAATTACACCTTTTTTTTCTCCTTTTCTCTTTCCTTATTTTTCTCCAATCATCGGCAATGCTCGTCAATTGTTTACCACAACATGTTCCTTTGCAAATTCAGCTCTTGCAATTCTTTAACAATTTCTACTTGACTGAAAGAGATGTACCTCTCTTCCTCTCAAAAGAATAATTGCATTTTTTTCGTAACTCAGAGAAATAAGTATAATTGTGTAAGGGAAGAATACACATTTCCACATCTGAGTTTAATCTAGAATTTTCCAGCAGATCAATAAGAAGCAAATAAGATTAGACAAACAACCATCAACCACAAAAATACTTTTGCAATGTGTATGACAAGTTGTCAGTTGTAGAGTAACAAAAAGTAACATGAAACAATTTGAAGATCAAAGTGTGCCAAAGTAAATGATCACCAAGTTCTCAAATTTTACAAATAAAGTTAATTAGGAAAGCAGCCTTTTAAGTAGTTACTGATTAGGATTAAAAGAATTGATCTGAAAGATTCAATAAAAGAGATTCTTGTATCGGAACTTGAGATGAGAGAAGTTGTAAATGAAGACAAAACAACCTCTTCTTCCTCCCTAATGAAGACATGAGCATAATATAATCTGAAATGCAAATTTTATAAAAAATTTATATAATATGTCTTTTGTATATTATATATCTGATTTATACATAGTAAAAATAAATTTCATACAATTAATTATATATTATACAATTTATGTACAACTTTTATAAATTATTTCTACCCAGTTAAATACAACTACAATAATATACAACTTAAATACAAATTTTACACAAAATTTATACAATATGTCTTTTGTATATTTGGTATCTGATTTATACATAGTAAAAATAAATTTCATACAACTAATTATATATTAGACAACTTATCTACAATTTTCATACATTATTTCTACTCAATTATATACAACTACAATATCATACAACTTAAATATATTTTTTATACAATGTTGTTCAACTTTCATACAATAGTTAAATAAATAAAAGAAAAATATATAAACAACAGAATACAATTTTTCTACAATTTCGTAAATATAATGTTATCATGTCTTCTTCTTCGAGATTCAATCTGAAATTAAGCCAAAACCAAGTCTAATCTTTACCAAAATCCCTCAAAATTGAGATATAAACTCCAAACTATATTCCCAATTGTTTGCAACAACACTCAATCCAAACAAATAATGATTTTTGAAAACCTAAATTCGAATTCAAAGCTTCAAAGCTTTTTAATGGCTGTCAATGGTGGAATTACTGTCCTCTTTTCTTTTGCTTTACATTAATGAAATTAAGGATTGAGAGATAGAGAGAGACGTAGAGAGAATTCACAATTCTTTGCAACAACATCCAATTCAAACAAATTATATTTTTTGAAAATCCAAATTCGAATTCAAAACTTCAAAGTTTTTTAATGGCTATCAATGATGGAATTGCTGCTCTCTTGTGCAAGATATGTGGGGAGGAGAGTGAGATGTGGAGAGAAAAACGTGGGGGGAGTGAGATAAAGAGAGAGAAACGCAGGGGGAGTGGGAGTGATTGTAGGAATTAATTAATTATCCTTAAATCCTAAAAATGTACATAATTGGTAATTTTGTATATAGGAGGTAATTAAAGTGAAACTTGAGTAGGGAAGGTAATATAGTTTCATATAGTGTATAGGAATGTAAAAATTCCTTTATATAATTAATCCAGTTATATTAGCCCATAATATTTATTTGGACCAATATATCTTGAATTTAAAATATAATCCAATTTTTTTTATGGATTTAATTTTAATAAAATTTATATGCATACAGACCTAATATTAAAAAATAGTAACCCCAAATCGAATGCAACACTTTTCCATCGTCCAAAATTTGTATTCAAATAAAAATTGAGAAACTGAAAAGAAAAAAATCATGAATGATTTGAAACTTTTTCTAAAAACAAACGCCATCTTCCAAATGGGTTGCGTAGTGGACCAAAGCATCCAGAGCCAAGGGATCGCGCCTATAATGGTTAGTTTGATGTAGTAGTCCTAGTAAAAAAAAATACATTGATGAAATATATTAAGTGAACAAATTTTCTTTCTTTTTCATCTCTCTCATTTACCATTTGTAAAATTGGAGGTTCAAACTTCTTGTAGAAGTTTGAATTATTAGATATTGACTCTATCATGGAGCTAGCAATCAATTGTTCACCAGGAAATGTTGATAGGAATAACTCAGTAAAAGCCATAAATCCGTTTTGCCATGATCAATTGGAAGAAGGATCCATACTCTTAACATTCTTTCATTACACATAATAATCATTCCTTAACCAACTCACCAAACTAACACTTACAACTTGTTTGGAGGGTTGGTACGTATCATTTCATAATGTATCGTATTGTATTGTATTGTATTGTATTGTATTGTACCGTATCGTTTAATAAATATAATATATAGATAGATTGTGTTGTTTGTCATCGTTTCATAATATCACGCACCAGCAATATGAAGAATAAACTTGCAATATTATAAAGAAAAATTATGATACAGGGTAAAATTATTATATAAAAAAGTGGAGTAAATAATAAAATAAAATTATTTAATAATAATGAAGGGTGAAATTGAGAGAAAAAGATAAGGTAACGATGCGACCACACCAAATTGATCGTTACATAAAATGACATATTTTGTCGTTATGTAACGACGTATTTAACAATACGATACAATAAAAACAAACATCGTATTTAAAGTAAAAATACGATACAATACAATGCGTAACAAGTATCCAAATTAGTACGGTGGGACGTGGGTGGGAACACGACTTCAAAACCCTTTCTTTTTTTACGGATTTCCATTTTCTGTTTTCCTTTTATTGCCATCTGTTTCTATTTTGAAGAGAGTATAAAAAATTACAATCTATTTCGTTCCATTTTGACTCTATCATTTCAACATCTAACAATATTCAGTTCATTTAATAATGGAATTTTTTATAATATCTATACACATACGAATCTCCAAACATAATTAAAAGAGACTCCTAGCAAATACTGAATCTACTTTAAACATGTCATTGTCCTTAAAATTACTAATCGCAGATAGTTGGCATCGTCCAAAACGGCGTTGGACAACTATGCTATAAGCTAGTCTCGGGAAAGTCTTTATTTGCCACTTGTTAAGAAATTGCATCATCAAGTTCATTGTCATAGATGAATATTCAATAGCAGAGACCGACGTGCATATTGCTTCCTGAATCCAATACTTTGATACAAACATAAATTAAATTTGTGTATATTTTACTAAAATTATAACAATTAATCGGTATGAACCCATAATTTTTAAAAAATATATAATAAATTCAATGTTAATAACTTTAAAAGTTAAACTCATAAAATTTAAATCCATAATCCGTTTCTGATTATTGGCCAACAAAACTTTCAAGAAGTTGGTTCAATATTTGATAGGTTGCTGTCTCCGACTCTCCATAATTATGTCCATTTATCATTTAGGAGCGTACGTGTTTCTTTGTGTTTGTTACCCAGGTTGCTATATATAATGCATTAAAATGATTTGATTACTGTTAGGTAGACAACAGAATACGCAACTGTTTTCTTGTATCGACTAGATAAAATTATATTTTTTTAATACATTTGATATTAATTAAGGGGAAGGCAAAATGGAGACCCTGAGAATTGAACCAAAATCTATTACTACATTCTATTATTTGGTGAAGAAAATATTCGTCCTTTTTTTTATAGTTTTCACTCGATGTTTGGTACTTATATTGAGACCCTAACTAATTTAAATTTGCATCGGGTAATGTCTATTAAAGTGGAGACCGCTCCCTACCAGGATTTTCTTCATCCCCAAAATTAGAATTCGAGATTTATGTAAAAAAATAAAATAAAGGGATCTTATTTATCCTACAGTGAAAATGAAAAACTTTCATATACAATTAAACCTCTCTATAACAACCTCGTTTAGTCCATTTTTTTTTTGTGGTTACAGCAAATGATGCTACAAAGAACATATATATTATAAAATAGCATAAAATTAAATTTTATAGTGAATGGTTGTTATATAGCGACGTGTTATAGAGATATCTGACCTTAAATAAAAATGGAGAGAAAAGATCTGCTTGTGGACAAGTGAGCTAGGCTTGAAGTTATGTCCACTGATAATAAAAATTATTAATATGAGTAGTGTTATTTAACCAGTTTTATAATACACATATATTTCGAATCCTTATTTATCTTTTATGCATGCATATACACATGTATTTCAAATATTAGCTCTTTTTACAATAGACAAGTAGTTATTTTATTTAACATTCTTTTATTTTTAGTTATTAAAGAATAATATTTTTTTATATTTAAAGTCAATTTACTTCAATTTTAAACTTCTCACTTTATTCTTAATGAAATGATTTATTGACAAACAACTATCTATAAGTTCTTTTAAACCTCAAATTTTATTAAATATTTTTTTTATTCGTATCTAGTCAAATACGATCACATAATTAAAGAGGGATGGAATAATATATATTAGTAGCAATAATTAAATCAGGTCAATTTAAGAATGAGTAACGCTTCACATCCAAGTCAAAAAAAAGATGACATCAAATCAAAGACGTTAAGCCCAACGTAAACAACAACGAACCAAAACAAACAAAGCCGCCCGGTCCGGTCAGGTCCCAAAGGTGCGTCTAATTTCAACTTAACTCCCATTTTCTTCTGTTTATCCAACTGTTGTAATCCCTGATTTTTCGTTCTATAACTCTCTCATCTTCCTCATGAAGCTGCCATTATTTTGATGTGTTATTATTAGTAGTATAATATAGTAATATACTGCACACATCCCCAAAGCTAAATACTCAAGAAAATTCAGTAAACTCAATACCAATACCCTGCAATTTCCCCATTACTATGCACGTCTAGTTGTCTTCACACTCCCCCATAGCACCCCTTCTCTTACTATTCTCCATTTTTTTTTTCTTCTCTTGATCTAAAATTAGATCCTTTCACTTGCTTTTTCCAATATAAATATATTGGGTTCCGTACAGTGGTGAACTCCCCTGTTTCACTTTCAAGATTTGTTTCATGTCTTGTCCTTTTCTTTTCTGTTAAGCATTTGCCATTTCTTCCATTGAACTCTTCCATTTGTTCCTAACCAAGAATTTTAAATTTGGTTAATTCCAAAAACCCAGAAAAAACCCATATAATAATTTTTTGATAAATAATTGCATTTCTTCCGTTGAACTCTTCCGCAAGTGCTCTGAGAGAATATTTTGTAGCTTCATTGGTCATGTCCTAGAAAATAATATACTCGTTTGATTATTTTCCGAAACCCAGAAATTATTTTCATCAAGATAGTCGTATTTCGTTTTTATTACGATTTGGGTATTAATGGGGAATTGTTTCGGGATATCAAGAAAGTTGACGTCGGAGATAGCGCCGGCCGACGTAATAAAGAAACATCCGGCTGTCAAATTGTACGGACCGCCGAATAGTATTTCAACCTATTACATTCGATGTGCTCTGCTCTACAAGCCGGTGACTGTCCATTTTATTCCCTCAGAGACCCACCGTTCGCCGGTACTGGAGTACAAATCCGACTCCGTTACAGGGTCCGTTAACGACGTTTTACGTTACTTGGACGTGAAGTTTCCGGAGCCGAAGTTGTTGATGGGGTGGGGAATTGGTAGGGGTGGGTGGTGTGATGAAACGACGCCGTTTGTGGTTTGGTTGGTGATACTGCAGCATAGGAGTATGACGTGGCACTTGGAGAGAATGGGGAGATGGAGTGAGGACTTGGCGGGTCGGGGCGGGAGGGCACGGGGTGATCCGGCTATGGGGACTCCGAAAATGGAGGTGAGAAAGTTTGCGAGGAGTTATTCACAGTTGTTGGAGCTAATGCTGGAGCATGCTCAAATGGAGGAGAGAGTTGTTTTTCAAATCTTGGAAAAAGCTGATAGAGGTAACTTCAATATAGTTATATTGATAGCTATTTCCTTTCTTTTAATCAAATTTCTGAGCATTTAGAGGTGATAATTTGGTTATTTGTTCCATTGATTAAGTGTAAATCAAGTAGTAGCTGATGTGGGGAATCTTGTTATCAATCAGTCAATTGCACCTCAATCCGAAATTTTCCGTTATGATGAAAGAATTCTCTGTATCTATTCTGTTTTACTATGGTTCAGTATTCAGAGGATTCACTATAGCTAAATTAGCTTTAAACTGGTTAACATAGAGCAATTCTTCTCTTTTATCCGGACTTTGGATTGGTTATGCTTGGAAAATGTTCTTTGTTATGCTTAATTGCCTATTTTAAGAAAGATATTTGGAAATGGAAAAGGGAATGGGGTTACAGTTTCAGAGTTGAATAGCAGTTTGTGTGATAAAGTTAGAAATTACGAGATTTATTGATCGTTAAGAGGGTATATTGGATGCACACAGACGGGATGCAGAACAAATTCTGATCTTTAGATTTGTTTTTCTTCATGGTGGGACTGTTAATTTTATGTAAGTTTGCACAATTAACTTGATTGAAAACGAAAATTGTATCTGCCTGTTTGAGGAAATCAAACAATTAATTGGATCTTTTAGAATTGTCGTAACTTGAATATGAAGTTCGAAAAATGGGAGAATGTTTGTAAATAGCAGATCTACCAATCATACATCTGAAGGGGAGTTTTCTCCTCAATTATTGAGAATGGGGGTTGTTGAACTCAAAGCCAAATTTTCCAAATGGGAAGTGACTGGTTAACAAGAATGTTTAGCTTATTTAGTTCTTCTATATATTTAACTTCTTAGTTTGTCCAAGGTAAGTTGCTTATTCAGATCATGCTGATCTTGTAGTATATCATTTTGCTGCAATATTATTTACCTCTACTTGATCACGATTTCAGGATTGTCTAAAGCTGCAAACGAGGAGCACGCAAGGGACCTTCCGATGATGAATGGTATTAAAGAAGATATCAAATCTATCGGAGTTCTTGATTCAGGGCATCCTTCCTACCAAGAGGCCCTCTGCAACCTCTCTACTCGACTCAAAACCTTACAGGTTCATTCTGCATTCACTACATCAAGATTTTAATCTGCCAAATTCTTCTGAAATATGGCTATCTTTTACTAACGGCCTCACTATATATCTAATGCCAGGAGCATAGCAAGAAGCACTTTGAAGAGGAGGAGAAGAATCTACTGCCGCTGATGGAGGCAGCTGAATTAAGTAAAGCGCAACAGGATAAAGTCCTAGACCAGTGCTTGGATGTCATGCACGGCACACACTCCCATCTCTTTCGTTTCTTTATGGAAGGCCTCCTCCCTCAGGATGCAATGCATTACTTGGACATGCTTTCAAGGTGCAGTGACCAAAACAGAGTATCTTCAATGCTACGATTAATTGTGGATAAGATTGTATGATTCGATTTTGACAATCAATCATCGTCGCTTTGAAATATAAATAGTTATCATCATCAATTGATGTTCTAGCTTTGCTTTTAAAGTGGAGCACTTGATGTTAAGCTCACTATAATTGCTTTGCCTTTGCACTTCTTTAATGTCCTGTGGGGTTCTTAAGTTGAGTCCTTAAGCACCAATTATACCTTTTGTTGTTTCTTTCACATGGCAGATGCTCAAAGCAAAAGGGAGGAGAGGTTGCCTTTTGTTCTTTCTAGTTTTCATTTTTTTTCTTTCTTTTTTCTTTTACTCTAGCAGTTTAGCTGGTTATAGTTAGTCTGTACATAGTAGGGGACAGATATGCTTTGTTGGATGTTGCTTTGAATCTACTTCTCTGCTAATGTAAATAATTTGAAGGTGGTCCATGTGGATGTTGTTACTTTTCTGTAAATAAAGAAGATTTTATGTCACTTATGCTTTGTCCATTTTTCTATCGGAATAACCCCTTTACCTTGGCTAAAATAAGTCTGCGTACACACTATCCTTGCGATTACACTGTTTTTTTTTTTTTTTTTT